CACAAATTGTTCACTGTAAAATCGCCCTACGAATTGTAAAAAAAAGTAACGTATTGACCCCGACGTGATTTGAACACGCAACCTTCTGATCTGGAGTCAGACGCGCTACCGTTGCGCCACGGAGTCGTTGGTAGGTGGGCCTCAAATAATTGGTTGCGTTTTATTAAAGAAAATTGAGAAAGCTTAATAATTAATTTTATAAGATAAAAGATACGAATAACGTAAAACACGACGGAGAAAAATTAAAATGACAACATTGAAGGAGTATGACATTAAACTTATATAAAAACTGCTGTATTTTATATTTTAACTATACTTTAAAAAAATAGAAACAGGTTCGTCTACTTCTATTGAAGTTGACAGCTGCCAAAACCATCATCGACTCTGTTCTTTTAAGAAAGAGGTTTTGGAATGTTATTAAAAGACCAAAATTTAAACAATCTAAAGCAAAAACGTTATTGTCAGAAGTGGGATTCGAACCCACGCCCACAGAAGTGGACTGCGACCTGAACGCAGCGCCTTAGACCGCTCGGCCATCCTGACCACACTGTTAAACAAATTTTATCTTACCTTTAGGAAAATACACTCCGAGTGGACACTATTTCATCCTTTTACAAAGGCATATCATAAACTTTTAATACGTACCACATAATGATAATATGCATAGATGTTAAACGTTAACTAAGAGTCTTAATTAATGCATTAATTGCTCAATAATTATAGTGTAATGGTTCGCTCAGAATTTACGCGTTCTTCAAACCTATTAACATTGATTAAGCTAATGCGGCTCACGGAGCACAACGTTTATGCATTACACATGCAGCATGGCCGCTGTAATTAATTCTAATTTAATTAGACACTGACGATTATACTTTATAATAAGCTGAGAGGATTACAAATTACTGATACGTCAAATTATAATATTATGTACTTACTATTAGTGTTCGGTGTAGTTACATTATACAAATGTATCCCATTTTAATTACGTATTTACCGCGCTAACACGCCGTGTCTCCGAGTGTTGTGCAAATCATATTGACTCTAGGGAGTCTGAACAAAGTGCGACGACACTATTTTTGTCATATACAACATTAGCATTTGTGTCGTGAACTTTAAAAGACATAACAAGTTTTTACATAAATAAATAAATGAATTTAAAAAACAGTGCGATTTGTAATTGCAAATCAATTACAAAAGAAACCTAGATAGCAATGCTAACGAAGTGCTACGTATCAAAACGTGCAATTCAAAATAACGCGACTTTTTCACTGGTTTCGAGAGACGAACAAACAAACGCCGCGCTCGCATCCACTACGCACAATCATTGACGTATTTACTCGTATCCATAGCTGTACTTACTTCTACATGTAACATATTTGTGCATATTCTGAATTTAATCATGTGCAGCATTCTCCTGTGTAAATTGAATAGCAATTATCTTTGATCTATGCAATGTAATGTTACAAGCGTAGAGTTGGCATCCGGTTTGGAGGACCAATAATTCTCAGAAAGCATTCAGAATTCAGAGAAATTAAACGTTCTTAATAAGTGATTCTCACCTCTACATTATTCTACAGAAATTTTCTAACTGTTAATTACAACTATCACAATTATACGTATAAATATATTTTTATAAAAGTCGATACAATATGAATTCTCGAGCGTGTTAACAGAAACAATTAGGTGGCGTGCCGCAGCCCCGCAGCCCCGCAGCCCCGCAGCAGGCAATATTAAAGCCGCTATTAACTATAGATGAAATCCTAACGTTCCTAAAATTGCTTTTGGCTCGGGTTTTATACAGTTTTCTGGCACTGAACAGGAGTCGCACAATGTATACAGGTAATATCAAGTTATATTTTCAACTGGAAATAATTTCTCTTACAACTAGACGTGGAAATATAGTTAGAAGGATTTATCGAGATAAAACATTATGGGCGTGTCCCACCAAATTGAAAATTGTCTGATAACAATCAAACGTGTAAAATATGTGATGGCAATATCGGACTTTGTTAAGCTATCTGAACCTATATCAACCAGTGGTAGGACAGGCCCTTAATATGCTAATAAGTTAGTAATAAAAATACATTTAAAGTTAAATCACGCGCCGCGTATAGAAAAGTTACTTTCGATGTTTAGTTAATATTCGATACTGAAGTTGGGTCCTGAAATGTTGGTTATCAAAGTCGGCTGACGCTGAATGCTAATGTAGCTCCGTGACTCCTCAAGTGTAGAGAAAAGCCGAGGTAAAGTTAAACTCGCGCCTTGAATAATTTACCAACGAACAAATTTATACTTATTTAAATTTGTCAATATTAGTTAGGAATATGTAAGCATTCAAGCGGTACACAATGTTGAGAATTATATGACAACCCTGTTAAAAAAAAACAGAGTTTTTATTGCTTTAAGGCAGTAGCTTAATGTTGCATAGTTGTTAATTGTATACAATCGCTTTTTAATTAACTGGAGCTCTAATTATTGGCTCCAATGATATCAAAACAGATGATAAGCGGCGCAGCGCAGCGCAGCGCGGTGACTGGGTACATGCCATTGGACCTCATCCAAACAAATAGATCCTGTTTATTTGCTTCCTAAACGTCCAGATAAATTTATTAAATATTAGAACAAAGTCTAAGTACATTTTACAGAAAAACTAAAATAAAAATTATTCTTTGATTATCAAAACATTTACGTAAACAGTACACTTGCACTATAATTAGCACCGATTATATCAATCTAATCAATACGTACTTTGATTTTAACATGCGTGTTATAAGATAATTTTATAACGTGATATGAAACTTATTTTATGAAGTTTGTGAACCACCTTTATTCGACAGTACAGTAACTGAATGTGAGTTAAATTAGGGTATTATGTTCATACACGTGTCGGTGTACACTACAAGCAGTGGTCGCCAGCTCGCCGCTGCTCTGCTCTCGCACAGACAATGCTGCGGTCGACAATACGCCATTGTAACACGCACCGCATTGTTGTCTACCTGTACACACGCTCTATTGATACATTTATTAACTATTTACAATGTACTATTGTTACTACGATTGAATATATTTATCGAGGTAAATAAATAGCTTTATAACATGTTTCTTAAGTGAGACTTGTACACTTAATCCAAGGTCGGTTACGTGTCTGCAGTTTCGTGTTATTGTATTGCTCGTTGGTCTCCTGATAAATAAAAAGATACAAAAAAAATATAAGGAAATTTAATGTTTTTTAAATTACACGTTTTGTACTCTTTCTTTGGTTGTTACTTACTACTTGGACTACATTTTTAAACTATATATTCTATTGAAAATCGAAAGTGTAAATAATTTCGACAAACGATTTGAGAGAAACCTCTAGATAACTCTGAATAATAATTTATTGATTGTATTATTAATTGAGTCGCGACGTTATCGCTCCGGCCGCTGAAAATTTATGAAAAGGGCAACAATATTTAATGAAAGGGTCACCTCCGCAGTGTTTAGCCGCAGCCGACACAATGGACGGGGAGCTCTTTGTGATTACAGATCGGATCCCTTTGGAAGTCCCTTTGTAACATCAACTGCGTATTGACATGATGTGTTGTGAGCCGTGGTATGTTGCTGACAGGACTCGTCGAACCCTTACACGATTACTTGTTTTTAAATGTATTTACAAATTATAATGGTACTATACTTTTTGTCAATATTCAGTTAATTTTATTTCTGTGCTATAAGATACTTTTAAAAGATCTTTGTTAGACAATAGGTTCATAAAATATAAAGCGAGTAGGGAAATACCTTCGTCCACACGGTCTGTCTGCTGACGGCAGACGAGGGGTGGGGCTGAGGGAGAAGGCGACACGTAACTTGAGTCTGTGGAAGTGAGGTAACACCGTGGTATTCTCTCGGGTGGCAAAGTCACTGCTTACAACAATGTTTATCATATTGTGTAGGAATTCGGTATTTAAACTATCTTAGCCTCCTTTCTCGAATACAGACATGTTATGACTAGCAGCGCATTGCATATTGTATTTAATTTAATTTGTATGTGTTATTATTTTGCGAAATGTTCTCAAGATATGGAAATTCAGATAAAACACAGTGAAAATCGCTGTAGATAGGCATGTTACAAAGCTGTGCCTGGCTGCGGCTGGCGGCAGGCCAAGCTCATCCGCCGCGCCGCCGCCGCGCCGCGCCGTGGCCGCTCTCTCTATCTATTCTACTCACTTTATATTACAATTCATATAAATATCGGACGATATTGCAAAATATACCGATAAAATTTTATTTAAAGACTTACTGTTCATGCCAAATATTTAAAAGAGAAAATATTATTTACACGAATAAATTACAATTACGAAATCAATAAAGCAATTCGTCGTTTAAATGTAATAGATAAAAAAAATACATTTTTATTATTATTTCTGTACAACAACAACATTGTCTATTGCCGCAGACATATTTGCGGATAGGTATGTATGTGATCTAACTGCACAAAAATATCGTTTTCATGATGACTTGCAATTTCCCCTTAGGTCGAGGCCGACGATCAAAGTCCGCACCGATAACGCCAAACAAGTATTTATAACCTTTGTATTATGATCACAAAAAACGGATCAATAAAAAAGATAAAACAATACTCCAAGCTGAGTATTGTATGGATTAATCAGCATTATTTTTGAAGCAACTTGGGCGAAGTTAGCGCCAGTTTAGGAAATAATTATGGACTACAATGGTGCAATAACAAGGAGCAGCGTTAAGTCCGACGAAGTCCGGCCATTACAGCAATTGTTTGTGGAATAATGAATTGAGTGGTTTCATTGAATTCACGGCACTTAATGCACTACTCATTTTCAAGCTTAGAATTATGAGCATTGGAGCCAGGATTATATTAATAGCCTGTTTTTCGTGTTTATTGCTTAGGAATGGAAAACAAAATATATAAAATGACTAAATCTATTCACTTGTGTAACTTGGAGCAATAAACTAATTTAATAAGGGTAAAACTAAAAAAAATCATCTATTTATAAATTAAGTATATTAAAATTTATTTTTGCAATGTTGCAGTCTTAAAATAATAATCAGCGTTATAATCGTACCAATCCAAGACCTTTCTGTCGTACCAGACGTAGGAGCCTTTCAAAGTAGCGGGTGCTTCGAGTACAAGGTACAGGGGTGTTTCCGCCGCTTCGTCGGCGCTGTAGAACCCCGCGCCCAGGGTCATGTCCGTGCGCACCAGCCCGGGGTGCATTGAGTTTACACATATGTTTCTTCCCTCTAGCTCCCTCTGCTGCAGCATCGTCAGAGCACTCACAGCTACCTTTGCCACTCTGTACGCCGCAAATGTTGCTTTATCCGCTATATCGTCTTGAGACAAATCTCCATTCTTCGATTTCTTGAGAAACCATTCAACAAATTCATTAATATCGTTTAAAGTCAGATTCTTGTTTGATAATCTATCAATCCAATATTTGTTTCTTATGTTGGATAGATGGCCACAATCACTAGAAATGTTTAAGATCCGTCCATTCTTTCTTACCAAGGGATAAATTAATTCTTGAATAGTTAAAATGCTCTTATAATTTATTTCCACGATATTTTTATTTTCTTCGTATGAATTATAAAATTCTGCGCTATTGGCGATGGCAGCGTTATTCACTAGAATGTCTATTCCTCCATATTTTTTCTTTACGTGGTCTCTGAATCTAAGAACACTCTCGCGGTCGACGACATCCAGCTGGTGATACTGCGGAGACAGTCCCGAGGCATTGAGCTGTGCGACTGCAGCTTTGCCGCGAGCATCGTCCCGCGATGTCAAGTACACGACCCCATCAAATCGTTTGCACAACCCTTTAACGATACTAAATCCGATGCCCTTGTTAGAGCCTGTCACTACAGCTACTTTAACTGACATGTCTAGTTTTTGCGAAAATTTGAACGAAACTAACATACGGAATAATGTGAAGATGACATCTCGGGCAAAGGTTATCAGTATGATAAGAATAATAATGAATGTTGTTAGTGAATCGATATGTTTATGTATATTTAGGTCTAAATATTTATTACATTTGGGACGACAAGGATAAAAAAAAATTGAAACACCAGAGTTTGTTATTTCAATAACATTTATTACAGTTTGTCTGTGCATCTATTTTTGTACATGATCTAAAATAGTTGATACCTTGAAATAATAATCAGCATTGTAATCATACCAGTCCAGCACTTTGCCGTCGTGCCAAACGTAAGCACCTTTGAGACTTGCGGGAGCATCTAGCACTAAGTAAATAGGGGTCTTGGCGGCATCGTCAGGACTGTAGAATCCAATACCAGTCGTCATATCCGTGCGAACTAATCCGGGGTGCATCGAGTTTATAGAAATGTTCCTTTTATCGAGTTCCCTCTGCTGGACGATGGTGGCAGCACTCAGCGCCACTTTCGCTACTCTGTAAGCTGCCACTGTCCCGCCGTCTGCAATGTCTTCTTTATTATACGTTTTGTCTTTAACACTTTGAAGAAACCAATCAACAAACTTTCGAATGTCATCTATTTTTAAATCTTTCCTGGATAGTTTTTCAACCCAATATTTATTTCTTATATTTGAAAGATGCCCGCAGTCACTGGAGATGTTGAGGATTCGACCATTATCTCTTACCAATGGAAAAATTAGGTCTTCCAATATTAATATACTATTAAAATTGATACTTATTATCGATTTGCATTCCTCATAATCCTCATAGTTGAAGCCACCAGAAATACCAGCGTTGTTAATTAAAATATCAATTTCTCCATATTTGGATTTTAAGTGGTCTCTGAACCGCTCGACACTTTTTCTGTCCGCCACGTCTAGTTGGTGAAATTCCGGAAATAGCCCGTCTGCATTTAAACTTTCAACTGCAGCTTTTCCTCGGTTTTCATCTCTCGATGTTAAATAAACAACTCCGTCAAATCGCTTGCACAGACCTTTGACAATACTAAGGCCGATGCCTTTGTTAGAACCGGTCACAACCGCGACTTTTGTTGACATGACTGTCCGTGTGAAGTGCCTCCGACAGACTAACCTTGTTACCGGTTTCCATGTACGTACGTGCTATCCAGTAGCAATCTATACAAGTCTCGTATCTTTAAAGATAATGAATGATAAATAATTACATACATTATTCTGAATACGTTTTGGAGTGCGTACTCGTATAATCATTTTTATAAGAAAATTCCTTGATACCTTAGGCTAGTACACAGAATAAAATCATTTTTTTTTCGATTAGGTATATGTAAGTAAGCAAATAGTGTGATATGATTGAAAAAAGTATTAAGAACATATTACTTATGTTATGTAATTGTTATACAAACGTATTATCAGTAACATCGAAAAGAAAATGAAGACATTGACCAAGGGGCAAAAAAATAGATAACATTGTTATCATCTTTTACGTAAGTGTAAATTGAAAACATATTTTTAATTCTCTTATATTATTGTGTTTTCGTAAATACTTACATAAACGTACGACAATTTTCTGTTGCACAAAACAGTCAATAATTAACACATGAATATTTATCCATTTTAACCTAACCTGCCAATTAAAAAGAATCTAGCAAAGGAATGGATAATTTTCTAAATCTATCTTAACAATTTTTGAAAATGTGCGAGAGAAAACATAAATGCAATTAGAGACCTGCCTCAGCTAAAAGTTGTAAATACGAAGATCTTTTAAAATAACAATCAGATTTATAGTCATACCAATCTACAACTTTACCGTCAAACCACACATAAGAACCTTTTAGTGAATCCGGAGCGTCCAAAACTAAGTATAGGGGAGTCACAGCTGCTTCATCCGCACTTAGATGTCCAATGTCACGTGACATATCAGTCCGAACTAGTCCGGGATGCATAGAATTCACGGAAATATTCCGAGTTTCAAGTTCCTTCTGTTGCAAGACAGTCGCAGCGCTCAACGCAACTTTAGCAACTCTGTACGCTGCAAAAGTTCCATCGTCTGCGATGTCATCAGTTTTAAACGTTTTGCTCCTGCACGCCTCGAGGAACCAGTTGATAAACTCTTGAATGCCTTCCATAGTCAAGGTTCGACTCGATAATCTGTCGATCCAATATTTGTTCCTTATATTTGAAAGATGACCGCAATCACTGGATATGTTTAGTATACGACCGTTGTTCCTTATCAAAGGAAATATCAATTCTTGTATCGTCAAAATGCTCGTGTAATTAGTGTCTATAATTTTTTTACTTTCTTCATAATTTGGATAATCCCCGCTAACAGCGATACCGGCATTATTCACCAATATATCTATTCCACCATATGTATCTTGTAAATAGTTTTTAAACTTTAGTACACTTTCCCTCTCTGTTACGTCGAGTTGGTGGTAGCGGGGAAGTAAGCCTTGTTTTCTTAGATCGTTAATTGCGTCTTTTCCCCTTTCGATATCTCTTGAAGTTAAATAAACAACTCCATTAAATCGTTTGCACAGTCCCTTGACTATGCTCAGTCCTATGCCTTTGTTGGAACCTGTGACGACGGCCACTTTTGTTGACATGACTGTTTATGTTCAGCCTCTGTTACGTACTAAATAAAAAACAATGTTATGATACGAATTTATCTTTCATTTATCAATTGTTTATCGAAAATATAATATGTGGTATCTTATAGAAATATTGTTTACATAGTAATGTATTTGGCAATAAAAAATAACCTTCATAAGTAAACATTATTCAGCATACCAAAGCACTACCTCGGCTACGTATCTAAAACTTTAATAAACATTTAACGGTTGTCGGGACATGTTGATAGACTTATATTATCTAACTGGTAAACAAGTCATCGTTAGTCAAGGCAAAAAGGTAAAGATTGGGTCAATTTATTAAAAATAACAAAAAAAAAACGGAATATTTGAATTCTTCGTTTACTATAATATAAACACGTAATTCAAAACATTGAAATCAGTTAGTGATAAAATTGCAGAAGTCCGTCACCATAGTACTTTTTTTTATTGTTATTACTTTGATAATTCTAGAAACGTGGCATATTTAAAATAATAGTCAGCTTTGTAATGGTACCAATCTAATACCTTTCCGTCGTGACTGATAAAAGAACCTTTAAGACTGCAGGGAGCGTCTAGAGCTAGATAAAGTGATGTTTCGGCAGCCTCGTCCGCGCTGTAGAAGCCAACCCCTCGCGTCATGTCAGAGCGTGCCAGACCGGGGTCCAACGGTTCACTGATATGTTTCTTGTCTCCAGTTCCTTTTGCTGTACGATTGTAGCAGTACTCAGCGCCACCTTTGATATTCTGCACGAAGCGAACGTCGCGTCGTCTGCGAGGTCGTCTTTAATAAATGTTTTGTTCTTGCAACCCTCAAGAAACCACTCCACAAATTCTTCAACAACTTTCATAGTCAAATCTTTGTGAGACAACTTTTCGATCCAGTATTTGTTTTTTATGTTAGACAGATGACCGCACGAACTGGACATGTTGACAATACGTCCGTTATCTCTTATAAGGGGAAAAAGTAGCTCCTGAATTATTAATATGCTTTTAAAATGAACATCTATAGTCTTTACGTTTTCCTCGGATTCGTGTGAATACTCTGGACTGGGCAATACTCCGGCATTATTAATCAGTACATCTATTCCACCATATTCTTTAAGTATGTGTTCCTTAAATGTTAGAACACTCGCTCTGTCTGTTACATCGAGTTGGTGATATTCAGGGCGTAGTCCTTCTATATTCAAATTTTGCACTGCTAATTTCCCTTGTGCTTCGTTTCTTGAAGTTAAATAGACGGCGCCATCGAAGCGGCGACACAATCCTCTAACAATGCTCAGGCCGATGCCGCGATTCGAACCTGTTACGACCGCTACTTTTTTCAACATGTCTTCCTTTCTTCGCTTTCTTATTACTACTGACTTTATGTTAATGGTCTTATAAAATAAATTAAGGTTACCTTCATTGTAAGTGGAGTAATTGATAATACGCATAACATAAAAATTCAGGTCTGGTTATATTAAAGTTATTCAACATTTTTAAAATAAGCTAGTTGAACATATACTTTTACCAATTTTAGTAAAGTTATGAATAATGCTACAAAACAAGAGGACGTTTGTTCTCCAGCGGACGACGCATAAATTTTTATGCAATATTGCTCTTGAAAAAATGTAGGAGAATGCATGTTAACGTTTTCATCCATTCTAATGAATCCTAATGAATGAAATTCTAATGAATGAATTTAAATTTGTATGTTGTTTTAATAGTTAACGTTTAATCACTTTTCAAGACGTCTGGAATGTGTGACACTTATTTTATCTGCACCCAAAAAACATTAATTAATATTCCGCAGTATATCTGTAGGCTCTTCGGTTTTTGCTAGTAATATGTATATTTTCATTAATTTGCATAGCTCAAAATATTTCTCACATTTGCTTGTTATTGTTTACATTTAGAGCGGTCGCACATCTTTGTCTAAACTATCGCACAACCGTTAAGTTGAACAACTGTACGCTCATAGGGATCAAAGCGAGACTAAACAGTTGTGCGATAGTTTAGTTTCAGGTGTGCGCTCGCTCTAAGGACTCGCTAATCTAATGTATGAAATTTAGTTAACTTTTTGAATTAACGTAATTAGCCATCACCTGGAAATCGAGCTCCATTCTATTGACGTACAGGTAGTGACTGTCTTAACTCGGGAGTGACACAGATCTCATCACCTTAGAACATGCGTTTAAAAATAATCATGACTTAAAACTTTATTGCATTATCACTATTATTAACGCAAAATAACAAAATGAATTAACACACATAACTATTAATTGCTGATACTATGAACGAAGTTATGCTTTCAGAGTGGATGTTTTAAAATAATAATCAGCCTTGTAGTCGTACCAATCCAAAACTCTTCTGTCATACCAGATGTAAGCGCCCTTGAGAGTCGTGGGCGCTTCCAGCAGCAAGTAAAGCGGCGTCTGTGCCGCCTCGTCTGCACTGTAGAAGCCCACCCCCAGCGTCATGTCGGTGCGCACCAGACCGGGGTGAAGCGAGTTCACAGATATATTTCTCCCCTCGAGCTCCTTCTGCTGCAACACAGTCGCCGCACTTAGAGCCACTTTGGCCACCCTGTAAGCCGCGACTGTGCCCTCGTCTGCAATATCTTCCCTTTTGAATGTTTCGTTTTTGCAGCTGTCGAGGAACCATTCTACGAATTCGTTGATATCCTTCATAGTTAAATCTTCACTGGACAATCTATCGATCCAGTACTTATTTCTTACGTTGGAGAGATGTCCGCAGTCGCTCGAGATGTTGAGGATCCTCCCTCCGTCTCGGACCAGCGGGAAGATGAGTTCGTGCATCAAGAGAATACTCTTGTAATTGATTTGGACGATTTCCTGGTTCTCCTCGTAGGAGTTGTAGAGGTGGACGCTGTTGGCGATGGCGGCATTGTTGACGAGAAGATCGATGCCGCCGTGGCGCCGGCGCAGGTGGTCGGCGAACCGCGCCACGCTGAGTCGGTCCACGACGTCTAACTGGTGGTACTCGGGCTTGAGGCCGAGTTTGTTGAGCTCGGCGACTGCGGCACGCCCTCGGGCCTCGTCTCTAGACGTCAAGTATACGACGCCCTCGAACCTCTGACACAGGCCCTTAACGATGCTGAACCCTATTCCCTTGTTGGCTCCGGTCACCACGGCCACTTTGGACGACATGACTGCACTTGACATTTGACCGCTAACGGCTGACATGAAAGTCCATGAACTTGTACGCAAATGTCTCTAGGTCTGTGCTATATAACGAGTTGCTCCGGACGACAGCGCGCGGAGAGGGGCGCCGCGGCCGTCTTATCGCCTACTTTATGTTTCACGTTATTTATTCTGAGTATATTTAATTTACGAATGTTTAAATGATTGTTAATGTACTTAAGCTGTGAATTTAAAATTTTAAACTTTTAAGTTAAAAAGGTTAAACTGTATATTATTGTTTATGATATAAATAACTGATATTTAATAGTTACATACAGACATAGAAGAGATACCAAATCTGTCTAAATGTGTTAGGATTACAGAGATATTTTGTGATATACAGAGTATGTCCCAATCTTAAAATTTATGTGTTTTACTGTATTGATTGTATTTAGCTAAATGTTTTAAATGTTTAAACTACAAGTTTTGTTACAAAAGAGCGTAAAAGTGTTGCTTGAGCTCAGTTTCCTCTTAAACTCTCTACAGAGTTGATATGAACTTTGAAAGCATCCGAAAATTAGACACACGATACACTAATTCAAGATTCTATTAGTAATTTGCCAATAATATGTATTGGTCAAGTTTCATATGCTGCAATTTTAAACTTGAATTACATCATCTTAAAGAAGATTGCGTGTATCAATACAATTAGGGTGTTTGCTGAACAAGGAGCAGGCGCGAAGGGCGCGGCGCGGAGCGGCGCGGCTCGGCGTGTGCGCAGCGATAGTGATATCTGGCACGCTCTATTAGTTAGGCGATACTATTATAATTATAGTCGTTGTGTTTGTATTTACATTTTCTTAATGTAGCATATTAGAATTAGGAGAAATTGTTAAATATTTTTGGTAATTTTGTTTCAATTCACTGAATTCTACCACACAAGTAGACTACATTTTTTAATTGTTTAAATTCCTTTCGTTTTGTTATTAAGTTAGCCAAAACAAACTTGGGTATATACTCACCTATAAATCGGCAAATTGCCACATAGAAAGCTTTGCATAACTCTTGTGTGTGCGTCAAAGGAGCCAGAGATAAACAGTATAGATTATAGAATCAATATCTTTACCAACAAATGGCCAACATTTAAAAACATGTACGAGAGGTTATCGCTTAAATTTAATTTAAAATTTACTTTTGAGTTATCAAAAAAGTAAAAATAAAATGAAAAATATCTGTCTACTGTTGTACTATACAATAGTATTGTTTAAAAATGTATATGTGTAATTTTGTCCCGTTGGTTTATCTCAATAAATGAATTATGATGTTTATATCATTACGTAGTTCCATCATAATACTACTAACATTGTCTACAAACATCAAATTTTATAGTTCGTTTCACTACCTATTGTCTACTGACTGCTGTGCTCTTCAAGACGGATCGATAACGTGCTAGAAATGTTTTTATAGTTTGTTACAAGACTGCAGTTATCGTATCTCTGGATGATCGTGTTCAATCCGGTTGTATCCGAGGAATATAGCGCCGGCGCCCGGTCAAATAAAAACGTTTACATGTTGTTGCCAGATGTGAGAAAAATTGCTTAACTTTTTTGTACTTACGAAGTAGCATTAGAACTGCTTTGAATATATTTTTCATCCTTAGTGTACAATTAAATTAAATTTAATAAACCTGGAGAGGGAAAGGATTTACAAATCTCTTTTGTGATGGTCAACGCAGGTAGCAACTGGCATATTTATTGGCAACTGTAAATTACTACTAACTTTACATTGTGCTTACTTTGATTTCGTAAACATTCAGTTTTATTAAGTGTCAGTTTTATTAGATTTTAACACGAAGTGATATGAAGCGTATTAAATTGTCTGAAAGTTTTATCCGCACGTTCAATAATTTCGTTACACTTTAAAATACTAAACAACTAGATTAGTTTTGCACCCGCCATGAGATAAATGTAAACTAGCCCGTATATGAAATTATTCTGTTAGATACAATCACGTTTTAACCATGAATACAAAAGTGTCTTATAAACCGAAGCAGTGTATCAAATAATTACAGAATGTCTCAAGAACTATAACAGGAGCATACACCATACTTTAATATTGTAATTAATTTATACCTTATTCATACACATAACTAACTATTAAATGAACAGGCTATACTCTAAACATAACTCGATATAGGAAACATCACAATTAACGTTACCATAATCATATCATTAGGGATATCGAGAATATCCAAACCTAATAGTGTTAAACTTCCAAAATGAGCTATACAGAGATTAGTTTTAAGGTTGTATTTGCATTGTACAAATAGCAGTATTGCCGTGTGGATGAAACAGTTAATCGGCAATAGATATTTAGCGAGCCTAATGAGCCGACTCACGTTCGTTGTTTAGTTTCACAGAATTAATTCCACTTAATTGTCAGCTATTTGTTTATGTTCAAATTTACCTTCATTACTTCGCTTTTATATATAAAATACCGTTTCATAATTGCTTGATACGTTGTTTATTAAATGTTATTGATTGTGGTATGCTAAATAGTCCACTGTTTCGTTAAAGTAAGGGATAATTTTGTGTGCAAATTTTAATCTCCAAGGGAAAAAGTCGTGGAGAAAACTACATAAATTAGAAAATGTTATTTATTTTCTTCTTTTGAATTTACACGTGCAATTAAATTATATTTTCCTCTGACGATACTTTATGATTAATACCAAACTAATTTAATACTAACTTCTCAAATGCTGAGATCTAATTAACAGAGATAAGCGCTTTTAAAGTTTGATATTTTAATGTCATTTTGAAATATTTCCTAAGTTAAATTTTGTTGTATTCGGTCTTTTTACTTTATTTTTGTTATTTATGTTTGTGTGAGAGTATTTATATGTAAAAGAAAATTACATATAATATACCTGAATTATACAAACAGAATTAAATAAATAAAAAAACATTTAATTTGTGTTACAGTGAACTAATTACCAGATATTGTTATTTTAAGCGATTTTATAGACACTATTTTGTAACAGTAACGTATTTACTGTGTAAAATTTTACACGTCAACCGTAATCAGAAACGTAAAAAGAGCGTCAATTAACTTTACATTCCGATGACGCTGGAAATGGTAAAAGAGTATATTATAGTGATACAATATGTGGAGTCGTTAATTGCGGTGTCAGTGCCAACTGCCAATACAAACATGTGAGGCATTGTGCCAGGCTAATTAGAGCTGCCGCTACGAAGGCGCATTCTCCACACATCAAAGGGATCCTCCTCGCGATGTAGGTCAACAGTGACTAGCTGCCGTTGCAGCCGTGCATCTTTACATTCGCAGAGCAAACTGTTCGCACTTGAGCCGGGGCGCGGGATGTAGGACGAACGACTCCTCACAAGTAGGGCTGCCTCTACCGGTCTAAACGGTAAATATTCGAGTACGACATCGTTGACAGGTCATAATGGGTAGTGTGAAACAATCAGCGAAATAGTGGTAGCAATGTGATTTGCCGATCTCCCCCAGGAAGTCTACTAATCGTCGTTTTCTATTTTGCCATTAATGTTTGACTTTACGTTGTTTAAAAGATGGCAGCCCTAGTGTCGAGTCCCGAGCCTGCCCGCCGATGCCTCGGTGAATCTTTGTTCAGTTAAAGGTGATATTCCTTTAACTGAATGTATAACGTCATTTCGTTGCAATTAGCAATGCAAAAGTATGTCCTTCTTATCAGAAAAAAAATCTTTTCCACTATCAGTATTAGTAAACACCAATAAGTAAAACATTAACTTATTAATTTGCTTATGGAACAAAGTTCTCAATAACACAGAATGTAGAGCCCTTGTTGTGGGCCCAGGTTCTGCATGTGCGGCTGCATGCCTGCGTGTAACGGCGGATGCGGGGTGCGGGGTGCGGGGTGCGGGGCTGTTTTATTGCTGGCGTACAAGGAAATGCACTTTGCAATATCAATTAAAGCTATGAGCGGAGCTGCAGCGACGGGCTGCATCCAAGACGTTAATTCTCGCAGCTCCAAGAACTCGCACATTGATTGGATTTAATCAACATGCAACATACTAGCGATTGCTTTTGATACCACGACTTTATACCCGAAAGTAATATTAGTTAATAATTAAAAAAAAAACTATTATTTTAACACAGATTTCACTCGCTTAACAAAGCATTGTAGTTACGTTTTTAAATGTTTATCCCGTCTATGATCTTAATATAATTAGTTAATTTGTATGTTTCTCGTGATCCCAAAGGGGAGGGTGGAGGGAGGGGGGAGCGGTAGCGGTATCGAGGTCTTGCGGGTAGGATATCGACAGGCGCTGTTAATTGAAAACACCGCCGCTGGTCCCCCCACACCGCCCCCCGCCGGCGCTGCGCTACTGCCTTAATTGCTTTGGCCCATGTATCACACGGAGCGCATTGCTCTGCCACACTTTATATGTTATAAAGATTCAGCTAAGCAACTCAAATTAACATATGGTTGTAAAATTAACGTTTTTCACTCAATTTAATCCATCACATAAAACCACGATGACATCAATAAGTATTACAACTCGGGAATGAATAGCCGCTTTCCGAAAGATATTTCCTGGTCTTCAATATTGGGCGCATTGATTTGTAAACAGTCCCAAAGTTTTCCCTTTCATTCGGCTGCGCGCCTGACGACTGACGACTCTCGCCCGGCGCCTGACGCCGGATTACGCGGGAAAGTTGGCGGCTAACGGGCCGACAAATCACGAAACGTCCCGTCGAATTACTATTGTGCAAAGTTTGACATCTGCCGCTGTTTACGCAACGTGAACATCGATTCACTCAATATCCAATAAAATATTATTGATTCAAACTAAATTGTAACTAAGAAAGAAAATTCACGAAGTCTATAACTATTTTAAGACTCTATCGAACAGATTGATCACATATTTTACTGTTAGACACCAGTACACGGACAGTAAAGCTATTATTTTATGTCACCATACATACAAACAGACAAGGATTACGAAATATTGGAGAATAAAAGAAAAATAGTGTCCAATTATTTTTTCATGTCAAAAATAACTTTACTTCTTTTCGTTTATCCAGAAAATATTGTGTAT